AACTGGTGATGCTTCTCTTGTTCTGAAGCTGAGCCATAAATTTGATGATATTTCACAATTGCCTTGCACAATTAGGAAAGGTATCTTAAATGACAAAAATATCTTCTTTTTATCTTCCTATTAAACTAGAGAAGATTGATTTTTAATGTAAAATCTGTGAGGGGCATTTAGGGAGAAAATATGTTTCCTGCTTAGAGTATTTTCCCAGGCAGAAGTTTCTCTAGGCAGCCTTGGTTTTGGTTTTTAGTTTTCCAAAACACTTTAAAACACAAACCTCTATGCCAAAAATCATTAGAATAAATTACTTTCAAAGTCTGGCAGAAGATAATTTTCCACAGCTACTACATTATAGATGATGAAAATGAATATATTAAATAAAATTATTTTCTTACTATTTTGTGTACTACAAAGCTGATATTTTTACAAAGATTTTGTTTCTATGTTCATTGCTGTGTTTTAATTTTAAATGAATAAGAAAGCTGTGCATATACTTTTTACAACCACACATTAAATATATTTATTCTTGTATTTGGAAATATATTTCTAAATACAGAAATGCCAATATTGGACTGGGTCAGATCTTTTGAATAAATTCATAAAATGTGACTTTATGCATCGGTGCAGATGCTGAATCCTGTTGCTGAGGCAGACACCTCTTCAGCCCAGTGAAAACCCTTCCCAGGAAATGCCCATGTCTGTAATCCCAAAGGTTGGTTCAGATTCTCCCACAATATTTTCAATAACATCAGCTACAAAAGGCTGTACATTTGGGCTGGAGCCTCATGTCTGGCAGCAGCTCCTGTGCCACCCATGTCAGGCAGGTTTGTACAAAGATGAAGAGCTGCAACAGTTCAGCCTGCAGGAGACAAACATTATTTTTCCATCAGCCCTTTCCTATTGCTTTCAACATCTCATGCTGGGAAAAAATGGAATCAAAGTGAGAAAATCTCAGTGTCTGTGGATGAGGTCCACTCTTACTCCTCACCTCTGCAGCACATGAAAACATCTGACCCCAGGGTCATTGCATATCCTGGAGTTGTCCTCCAGCAGGTAGGAATTGCTGATATCTCATATTGGTTACTCCAAAAGCCTCTATGCTACACCACATTTGATTCAGTACATCACAAATGATGTCTCTGCCACCTAAAGAAATATGGAGAGAAAAAACCAGGAAAGAGCAACAAAGAGATATCTCTCATTTCATATTGCACTATTTTTTCCCTCACTTTCCTCCTAATGTAATAAGATTTTTTAAAGAGCTCTTTTATCAGTAAGGTTTTATCATAGCACCTGGTGAGAGATAGCTAAACATTTTCCCTTGACTACTGAATCACTCAGGTCCAGCCTGCAACAACAGGATCCCAATGACCTGACTTGATGTTACATCCTTTAAAGAGTTGCTTAAAGTTTTTTAAGCTTTCTTGGTAAAGTAGAAGTCATCATAATTGTCTTATAACTAAATGCAAGTAGTTTAAATGCCCTAGGGCTTAATTTTATTTTACCAGTTAGAACTGTAGCATGCAAGCTTTCTAATGTGTGTGGAATCTCTTCAGAATTAATCCTGGGTCTCTTTCTTTCCATCTTGATGTGTCTACTGTTTCACAAAGGCTATTTGTCTCAGAGTTATTTTCTAAGCCTTTTTTTTTCCCTCTTGCAATGGTGTCTTGGAATAAAACTGCTTCACTATTTAATTCTTCTGCTTCCCTGAGTGCAAGGTGATAATTTTTTAAATTTTTTTTCTCTATTAACCCTACTGAGGATTTGTTTAGGATAGTTGTATCCTGCTATCCTTGTTAATTGACGTTTTATCTGCAGGCAGTTTCTCAACCAGTTTCCGGTGCCAGCCATGTTCTTTGAGAGAAGGGTCTTTAATAGATGGCCAGTATCAAACCATTTCTGTGCCAGAGGGTTCACAGGCCACTAGGCAGCACATGGCAACTTTTCTGTATCATGTGGCCATTCCTATTTGTCATGCTTGCTGGGCCTTGTCCATTTGCACACATTGTTTCCAAAATTTAGTTAGATAATTTCAATATCCATTAATTGAATAATTGTCATGTATCCCTAAATTCTGTCTTCAAAACAGAGAGACAGATCTATTCAGACTTTTTGCACAGATTATTCTCATGGCTGGACCAAAATTTATACAGAAGGCAACAGCAGAGCAATCTTCCCATGGATACTGTCAGCAAACCCCAGTTCTGATCAGCAGGATATTTTAGTGAACTATTTGATAAATGCTAATAGCCAAGAATTGCAAAGACTGCAGTTGAATTTGTGATGTGGATGCTGGAGGCACATGAGCTTCACCACAGGAGGGACATAAAGACATCCATCAGCTGAGAGTAGGTGTGCATTCCTCTTGCTGTGGCCTGCAGCCATTTGGGGCAGCTGTGAGCAGCAGGCTCTGACATTCATGAGAATCCCTGCAACACATCTGGGCGCTGAGGATTAATCCTGATTAATGCTGGCATTACACCTTCATTTGAAAAACTGGGTTTGGAACAAGGGGATGGTAAAAGGGAGGTCTGAATGTTTACATACCAGTGAAGCTCCTAACTTCCCATACAGACATGGTTTACAGCTGGGTATCTTCACCCTGCCCCAGTTCGTGATACTAGGATTGTGCTGGGGTTTTCCTCCACTACATTATCTGTAATCAAATACTGTTCCACTTTAAAAATTAATAAAAGCAAATCTGATACCATAAATACCATATATTATGATATTTGAATTTGCATCAAAAGCTTGTTTTTCAGAGCAGAATAGTTTGGACAGTTGTCTTGAGTTCTCACTTGTCCCCCTTTCTGGGGCTGTCAGTCACATCTGGATTTCCTGCCTCAACAAGGTGGAGGTGATGTTGCCAGTTCATCAGAGGTGTAAGCAACAGAAGAGTCTACAGAGCTGAGGAGGGTATGGGAAGATAAAATGCATGACTGGCTTTTTGTCACCAGTTTATTGTTCAGGACTCAGAGTCGTCACGACCTCCAGATTCCCTCCCCTGTTCTGGACAGGAACAGAGGCTGGTAGCTACAGGCAGCCATGTGAAGAGAGAAGGGAACACAGGCATATAAACACACAAATACAGGCTCAGATGGGTTGTGGAACCTGAATTCTCTCAGCAGAAGATGGACCAGTGGCAAAAGCAGAGTGAGAGGTGCTGAAGGTTCGGTATGTCTCAGCGCCACATCTCATTAGAGGAGTGAAAAAAAATGCCTGTACTGGGCAGCTACACTGTGTGTATTTGGGCCTCACAAGGGAAGGGCAGAAAACTGAATTCAGTTTTTAATTTGCTTTTAAATTATTGGTCATTCCCATGTCTACAAGAGGCACCTGGCAGAGGCCATCTCAGCATCCTTCAGCTCACCAAAGGGGTGAAGCTGTAAGAAAGCCAGAAGAAAGTTCTGGACACCCCCAAGCCAGGCACAGCATATGTGAAGCTGGGCTGTATTTCTTGCTCTGCAGGGCTGGTGTCAGAGGGGAGCAGCATCCCTCCTCCCCCAGGCCTGGCTCAGCACATACCAATGTTCTACAAATGCTCCCATCATATCCCAGACACACTTCTGACAGTCCTTGACGTACTCCCAGGGGCTGCAATAGTCCCTTTGCTGCAGGACAGACAGAAAAATTTGGTGTGCTAAGTCATGTCAGCAGAAGGCTGCTTTTCACCCTCTTTCTGCTGACAGAGCAGTGGAAGAGCTGGACTGTGGCATGAACAGCCCTGCTGCTGCTGCTGCAAATGAGGAAGAGAGTGAAGAAATGTTAGTACCACATTTAGCTTTATTGAAATTGAACAAATACCTTTTTTTAATAAACCCTTTTACAGCAAGTGTAAAATTTTAATGTTTTACTCATCTTATGTTACAGGTTGTCTTCTTCCATGTAAGCAAAAATACCATCTTTTTTTCCTCTTTTTTAAATATTTTTTTTAAATTTTCTACTTTAAAACATGTAGCAAGGATTTGAATAACGCAGATCCGGCACCAAAAGGTAACAGGTTCTGAAAATCACAGTACAGTTTTAAAATTCTTAGGTTAATTAATGATATTTAAAATGATAGCCACTTTGAGTAAAGATATAAATTAGAGGTCTGTAAACAAGTTGTGTTTACCTATAGAGCTATTGACTGCAGCTACAATGAGAGCAATAATAGAAACTCAATGCTAAACTGAGCTACACCTTTGAGGAAACAAGTTCTTACTAAGTAGTGTGGTACAGGGTAGCACAATAGGTAAAATACATTTTGGCACCTCAAGTTGCATGTAAAATCAGCAGAAATAAAATTAAGTAAGTGCACTGTCTCCCAACAGAAATAAACCGGGCAGTTTCACTGGTTCTGGAGTGTCAACTATCAAATAAATCACATGACACACAAGTTCAACCCCAAAATTACAATTCTAGTAAAGCAAGATAATATTAAAATGCACACCCACAAGGATAGTAAAGTATAAATTTTTTTCCTTTTTTTCCCTCTCCCCTATCAGTAGAAATAATTTACAACCCACAAAAGGACTCCTTGGTGAAACCACTACCTACAGACATGATCATGGAATGTAGCTCAGTAGACTTGTTTCAAATAGAAAGGCAACATTATCCTGAAAAATTTTGGTCCTCTTATAACTCACTGTACTGTAGCCACCACAGTCTCTTGATAGATGTTTTAGGAGAATTGTTTGTGTTCTGGTTCTCTTTTGTTCTGAAAAGTAATATCTTGGTGATAACGCTGGGTATAATTTGGCCCCAATTACAGATGTCTGACCGATGCTGAATCTGGAAGAACACACTAGGAGTACATAGGGGGAGCCTCTTGACTGGTCTCACGGCATATTTTGTCATGGAATCACTTTTCCTTCTACACTTCTTTTCCTCTTTGCTAATTTTTTCTCCAGTGTTCTGGGGGAGTGGGGAAGAAATCCTTAGTCCATATGACAGAATGACATTTTGCTGTTTATTTACAAGTGGATCACTTTGGCTGAGAAGTCCTGGCAAACCAGAGTTGCCTATTTCTTGTGAATGTCCTCATGCCGTATAATTTTGTATGTAATCCAGTAAAAGATGTTGAAAATGAGGAAGGCGAGCGGGAACGCAGCACGGGATATTGTATCAATCCTTTTTGCACGGTCAACAAACTTCTTTTTGATGGATTCTGAATCCTTTGGTGGTGCTGGAGTTGGGTTGGGTGGCGTAGCCTTGACTGCTGTGCCATCTTTCACTTGGAGGCAGTGGCCCATGCCATAGCCACTGAAATTGAATCGGCTGTCACGAGCAACTTCGTCTTCCTGGAGGATAAAGAGGACAAATGAGACACACAATCACCTGTCTATTGAGCATGCCATGTAGCTGAGTAGTTGAGGTGCACCCCTCCAAAGCACCTCAGCAAATTACCTGGTTACACAATGATACAAAGTCCGGGTTTTAAAGACAAACAGGAAGTTAAAACCCACGTTAAAAATATGTGTAAATCAGGTGACTTGCAGTGTTTGTGAATCCGAGATTTAATTTTTCTATCTATAATTTTCTAGCTTTAATTTTTCTAGTCTAAATCAAGTGCCCTGAGCAGCAAGCTGTATCCCAGCCGTATAGGGAAGAGATTTGACTCCACAGGTTTGTATTGCTCTCCTTGAGCTTTCTGTGGGGAGGAAATACGGTCATGCTGGTAGCAGGGTGTCTGCTCCAGCCAGGCTGAATTGAATGACCCAGAGATCCAGGGGCCCAAGTTCATTTTGGGGGGTTTCCATTGCTCAGCCTCACAGCAGCCTTACAGCTCCATCTCAAACCTGTGAAACAAGGGTAGGTCATGGTCCCTCCTTGCTCACAGGAGTGCTCTGACAATCAGTACTTCAAAGTGCACTGGGCACTTGGATTTAGTGGTAGCTGGGAGTCAGGTGCAGTAGCACAAGCTAATGTAGCATCACCCTGCAGAAATCCATTCTCTCTTGTCTGAGTGGGTGATATTTGTTTTTGGAGAGGTGAGTAACTACCACTGAACTTTATCACTATAATAACTGAGTGATGAAAGGCTTGTGACTGTGCTGGTAAATTCTCCCTGATGTTTCTCCTGTCTGATAGAACAATAATACACAAGTTAACAGTTGCTGGCAGCTCTCCATGAAGGATTCAAAACCAACAGACACAGCAGCTCTATTCTTTTTCATTCCAGCAGGGATGAATTGTAAGTTCAGGAACTTGTTCTAGTTAAAGACCTTTTCTTTGACTGACAGATGCTTCACTGTTGACTGAAAATAACCACTTCTTAGGCTGATAAGGAGACCAATCCCTCATGGAGATATTTAATATCCTCATATCTCTTACCAAACCACAGCCTTCTGAACTTAACAGAAAATCAAAAACTGCAAGGAAAAAAGGCACCACAGCACCAAGATATTTAATAACGAGCATATTGGCTGAACTTGGGGGTGGGAAGGGAGGATAATTTGTACCTATTCAGGATGTAAATCACTGCCCCTTCACAGAAGAACCTCTTTCAATAGCAGCATTTTTCTCTCTCCCCAGCTCCAGGACTGGAATTGAATATATCACCCAACTTGCTGTCCTTACCTTGGAGCTGACACGCAAAGGCGAATAATCAGTAGTGCGATTCAAGGCTACCAAATGAGAAATAGTCACTCTGACTGCTTATGGCATTGAATGCTTATGGAAGGAGGGTAGGCAGTAAACAGTGCTTTGGAGACCCTGTCACTTCAGCATGAAGGTCTATTCTACAGTGTATCCATAAGCAGGTGGAAAATTGCATCATTGCAAGGCTGTTTGAGCACTGATCCAGGGCTTACAACCTTTCCATCTTGGATGTTCACCATCATTAAGAAAAAGGATGGTCCTCTCCTTTTTCAATTTTATTTATTTGCAGTTTGCAGTACCTCTGTGAAAACTCTGCTTGTCCTAGCGACTATAATTATGTAAAGTATTTTAAAGATGAACCCACTGAGACCTAAGTTCTGGATAGCCTTATTAGGCAAGGCTTCTCTGGCATGACTTAATGACTTAATAACACTACCAAGTCCCCCAGTAGTACAGGGAGATGCCCTCCCCTCAGTGTTTTTCATTTTACTGAGTTTGAAGGATAAAATCCATGCCCAGGACATGAGAGGTGATTAAAAAGGGTAACAGATTTTCAGCAGCTGTGTTGCCATATGTACTTCATTCATTTTTAAAAAATTTAATTTCTGTTGCTCCTGAGAGATCTGTGGGAAGAATAAAAAGTACTGAGCTCAACGCCAGCTTGGAGAGTCCTGACTTCCACTGTGCCCTGGTGGATCACAGCTTTGTCACATGGGGTTGAGCAATTCATCTTCAATGTCACAGCCTTCCTTTTGAGCTTATGCTGTAGCAACTTGAGTGGGAAGCCATCTGACATTAGGCACAGGGATGTTTAAATCAAATTATTTCAGGTACTCAGCACCCAGCCCTTAACTATAAAGAGCCACTTATGTCCCAATGGGATTTAGAGTCCTGCTTTTCCAACCAGACAGTTGTCTGTGCCACTTCTTTTTCACAGAAACCATGAGGAAGCATGTTCAGTACCCATGTTATTTTTTTATTTAGGACTACAGCAGATGGGATTTACCCTGGGCACAAGAGGTACAGCATTCACCTGGAGTATGAGGGTATGAGTGAGTGATACATGGTCAGTTTCCCTCTCTGCTTGAACAGATTTTAATCTCCTTCTCCCTAATAGATCTCTGAATTGGTTTGTTACTGTTTTCCCAACACAGAGCTGTTTGGTTGTAAAAAAAAAAAAAAAAAAAAATTATGTAGGGTTTTTTAATCAGAAAAAATCCTTTTTCAAAGACTAAATAATCGATTAGGAGAACAGCATTGTCTTGCTATACCCACGTATTACTATGCCTGAAATGATGCATTTACACAGACACAGCACTAGAGACACCACCCAAGCTGTAGCTGTTGGGATCTTTTAAGTGCCACCAGAAGCAAGGAACGCCAGAGCCCTTACAGCCCCACCTCCAGCCCTGGAGATGCCACATCTCCATAACCACCATGGGATTTTTAACAGGAGAATCCCCCAGGAGCCGAAGGAGCTTTGCAGCCTGGCCTGTGCCTGCACTCTGAGCACTGCCAGGTCTCACAGGCAAGACCTGACCCACCAGAGCTCTCCCACCTGAGCAGACATCACCTGAAAGACCTCAGGGTGGTGAGAACTCAGCCCTTTCCAGTGAAAGTGGCCAATAGGGTTGAAAGTTAACAATGAAACCCTAGTGATATGAAGACTCACATGTCTGTGCTAAGAGGATACTTTTGCCATGAGACTGCAGCAGTGGGCTTGTGTCCTTTTGGCCCTCTGAGCCCCTAAACTGGTTCCACCCAAAATGAAGCAGAGGGGACAGAAAGGCTCCCTCCACAGCGCTGAGGGGAGCTGGGGAATCAGCCCGGGTGCTGGAAGTTCACTGTCCATGCTGCTTGTGGGTTAGCTCACTCTGGGGTGGATCATACCAAAAAGCTTTCTCCCAGACAAATCTGCCCCACTGGGGGCTGATGCCACACATTGCCATCATGAGCCATGTGGTGATACCTGGCCTCAGGAACAATAAAATCCCCCACCTGATTTACTTCAGCATTAGAGATGTAGTTAAAAAAACCTGTCTCTAAACCACCATAATCTTATGACAAAACTACAATTTGACATTTCAGATAATCTGCCAACATCCTGTTATATATAAAGGACTTGGGGGAATAGTCACAGAAAAACAAATTTATACACTATACAGAAGAGGATAAAGAACCTTTTTAAAATTATAATTCAAAATGTGAGATGAAGAACTGACCTAAATACTTTCCCTTAAGGAGTGGACATGTCTGCCTTTGACCTAGAGGGCTGGTGAGCTAATGCACACCTTACCTTGGGTACCTCTGCTGGGGCTGCAGAGTCAATTTCACTCTCAAGGTCATACTCATTTCATGCCCTCTGACATATCTACCATGGACACTCATCCACTGACAGTCTTCAACCTGCTCTCTAGCTTAGTCACTGCTAAAGCAGTCCTAATGACTTTTCAAACATCTCTATCATTATTTTAACCAGACTACACTTAAAACGTATTAATTTTAAACTGGACAGAATCTCACTTGCATAAATCCCAGACTATTTATGTGTTTACAGATTTAAAAACCAAAATCAAAGGGCAGCTGGAAGCCACCGGACATCAACTGGAGTGGCAGAATCCACTGCCACTGAAGTTATTAACTTTATCTTTCTAAAGGGATGTGAAGTTAGGTGTTACATAAAGCAGAGTCACAACTCCATCTGTCCTTAAAGCATAGGGGAAAGGGTCATAAACTAGGATGAGAAACAGAAAATACATTAATAGCAAGAGGAAAGTGTTCTTTTGATAGTTTTCTTTCAGATGTTCACACCCTGAATATTTTAGAAGAATTATCCATTGAAAACTAATTATCCTGAGATTTGGGAAAATACTTTCTAGAGATGCTTTTTCAACAATGTAAATTTATGACTATTGTCTTAGGATGTCATAATGAACAGGCTTAGGTATTGGCTTTAAACAATTTTCATTAAACAAGAATTACATATTTTTCTCATTTTTTAATTACCCTTTATGAATTTAGTGAATTTTTTTGTGCTTTAAAAATTGATGGCATTGTATTCGCTTGACTTAGTTTTAGAGTAAGCAACATATAAATGGGGGTAATACTTCTGAAATGGTTTTCTTTTTTAATTTTTCATTTTTGTACAGCTTTTATTTCTACTCCAGCAGGGCTATAATGTATTTCATACTACCAGTTTCACACCAAAGCAATCAGAAATAGAAAAAACACTTTAGAAAATCTAGCCCATTCAATGTCTTCCATGCTCAGCCTTCTGTACAATGCATTTTGAAGTGCTTTGTCCCCACCACTTTCAAATGCTTATTGTCAGCATTGACTAAGTTTTAACAATGAGGAAAATGAGAGAGAGGCTGGCTTCAAACAGTGTATTTAATTTGCTCTCTGATGTGATTTATTCTTTTAATTTTGCTACTGTTTTTTCCAACATATGGTGGAAAAACTATTTAAAATACTATCTGATTTAATTAAATTTCAAGGACACAGATGATTAATTTTAGGTATAGGATAGAGAACATCAGAGAAATTTTCCTTTTGGTATTCATAAGCACAAAGTTAGAAGCCTGGAATCAATTCAGACTTGAATGCAAAATGGAATCATTAGGGAGTGGACACCAAAATATCTTTGGAGATTTCATTCTTAAATCATCTTTACGGCTTTGAGACACCTCCCATCTCTCAT